AATTTAAAATCTGTTTGTAATTATAAATGCAAAAATACTTTAATAATTTTTAATTATATTATTACTAATATAAGAAACATAAAAATCTAAACATTTAGTATTAATTTATATTTAAGCACTTTATTTTTCGGAAACCGGTGTAGTATTTGTATCAATAATTTATAAAATATAATTAAACTTCTTTTTTATTGGTGAAGCCGTGCGGATGGCATGTAATCAGATATAATCCCAAACCAATTACAGGCCATAGAAATACATTCAAACGGAGTATACTTATGGCCCAAATCGGCAAAAATACCACAAATGAACCGACGATTTGTTCAGAAAGTCGTGATCTGAACGTATAGTGAATGTCACCACATCTGGTCTGTCGACTCTTTATCACATCATTGGATGCCTTTCTCAGATCATAGGCCCAACCGATGGCCGCAAACATGTCTATGAAAGCCGTCGCCGGATTGAACGTATCGATTGCTCCCAACTCTGAGGCCGAGTAATCCCTGCAAACAATACATTAGAAACCAATTATTTAACACTCAAACTAATTTTTGTAACTGAAAATACGAATACCAGGGGAACGTGTGGTGATAATTATGAAAGCCTTCGCCCACTAAAAAGTGCCTCATATTTGCCTCAACGGGAACTATACTCTTGTCGTACGGCTATTAAAAATAATTAAAAATTACATTTTAAATAAATATGAACAATAAATAACTGTTAAATATACTCTGACCTTCATTCCATACAAATGTGCAGCACTATTAACACACCATGTTAGATTAACTGCACCGCAATACCGAAGCATAACGCATACAAACCATGAGTTCCATAGGGTTTCGCCCCAATAATAATGGGGTATAAAAGTGGGAATTGCGGCCCAAATCAGTGCCAATAATGGTATATAAAACGCGCGCTGAAATCGGATCAAAGGGTCGGTCTGGAGATCACTCATGTCTATAGTCTTTCCCTTTTCCTTCACTTCCGGATGTTTTTTACACAAAAGCCAACCGACGTGTGAGAAGAAAAACCCGCGCCGCGAGTTGTGTGGGTCGGCGTCGGTGTCGCTGTACTTGTGGTGCAACCGATGGTCACGACTCCACTCGTAGATGTCATTTTGAAGGGCCATTGTTTGCAATACCATTAGTATTATCTGAAGCGGGAGTTTGGCTTTATATGTGCGGTGACACCAAAGCCTATGAGCGCCACACTATATGTTATAATTGTAATTAATATCAAAACATTGAATGAAAACAAAATATGATTACTTGAATGCCTAATGAAGAGACGAAAGCAATGAAGTTCATAAACATAATAGTCTTGAACTGAGCCGCATATACAGCCAAATACAGGCCATAGACCGCCGATGAATGTAATAATGCCATCAGAATTATATTTCGCCAAACTAATTCGCGCTTATATAATACAGGCTTATCAACATGATCAATTGTATCAATATGATCATGGTTTGTATCAATTATTGAACCGTTGCCCACTTTTACAGTCATTTTATCAAACTTTTAAATATTATTGTCAAGATCAACTAATCTCTTTTTAAAAATAAATGTTATAAACTAAAACTTTATGAAAATATCTTTTATTTATATATGAATTCATTTTGTAAAAAAGACATTTCCTGTTAATTAACAATTATAAAATTATTAATTAAATAAATATTAGTCAATATGAAAAACCCAATTAATTTATTTTAAAAATATTTATTAATTTATTTAATTAAAAATGTTGTTGTAAAGTAAATTGACGTACATTATTAATTTGCATAAAATAATTTATTTTTAATAAGGCTAAACCAGTAACTTGTTTCGCCAGTACTTCGTTTTAAAACAATTGTATTTTTTAAATTTTAATTAATTTTCTTGTTTATAGAATTTAATGAGTTAATTGGTTTATTTTACTTCTTACGTGACTTTTTTATTAATTATTAATTAATAAATCGTATCAAATTTAAAATAAGGCATGATTAGTCATCCTGTTCAAATTTACAGGATTTATACACCAGAATATTAGTTACATATAATAATCCAACGAATACACAATTTTGTCAAATTTTTCTATTATATCTTCTATTAATTTTAGAATATTATTTATACTAGAATTTAACTTTATCAAAGACAGGTTAAGTTAAGTACTTAACTAGTTTAATACTATGTTATTAAGGTTGCATTAAATAACATTAAATATCGATTATATATTATGAAAACAATAGTAAACAATATGGACAACTCTATTAATATGGTTAAAAGCAACCATGCTGAATCGACTTCAGTGAACAAACCTCGTAATATATACAAATTGGAGATCGTGTGGCGCAATGTGGCCATGTTTATATTGTTGCACCTTGTTGCTGTCTATGGACTTTATATTAGCGTATTCTACGTATCTCTCAATATGATCTATTATTTAACAGCTGTCAACTTTCTATGTGGCTTGGGCATCTTAGCAGGTAACATTATCAATTACTTTACAAATGCAATATTATTTTAAAATAACAATAAATTGTGTATTCTATGACTTACAGGCGCTCATAGGCTTTGGGCGCACCGATCATACAAAGCTCGACTCCCATTGAAGATATTTCTGGCAATACTCCAAACGGCGAGCATTCAGAATGACATCTACGAGTGGGCCCGCGATCATCGCCTGCACCACAAACACAGCGACACCGACGCCGACCCACACAACTCCCGGCGCGGGTTCTTCTTCTCACACGTCGGTTGGCTTTTGTGTCGCAAACACCCGGAAGTGAAGGAAAAGGGAAAGACGGTTGACATGAGTGACCTGTGGGCCGACCCTCTCATCAGATTTCAGCGCCGCTTTTATATCCCGCTTACAATTATCATTCGCTTAACTCTTTTCACATACCTTCCTATGCGTTGGTTTGATGTTTCATATTTGGATGGTTTGGCCATCAATATGATGGCACTGGTAGCGAATCTGAACCACACGTGGCTCGTCAACTCGGCCGCACATATATACGGCTATAAACCCTACGACAACACCATTAATCCCAAAGAGAACAGAGCTGTTGTCTATTTGGCATTAGGTATTAATTGTGTAATATTTGTTACAACAAAAAACACTATTGTAATTTTACTAACACAGGTGAGGGGTATCACAACTATCACCACACGTTTCCATACGACTACTCGGCCTCGGAATACGGGTGGGCCGATGGGTTCAATCCCGCGACCGCTTTCATTGATTTGTGCTATAAATTAGGTTTGGCTTACGATCTAAAGAAACCAACGAAAGAGACTATTGAACAGCGCGTCAAACGAACGGGAAATGAGAGCCAGAAATTAATAATTGTCCATGTTCTTTTTAATTATATAGTGGGTCTTATGGCTGCCAGTTGGCCTAGCATGATTTATATTATTACTCGGCTCGCATTTAACCCAATTTAAAATTATTTGCAAATAAACTGTTATTAAACCATTATGTTATCTTTAAATTATATTTATATGTATTTGAAGTTATAATTTTATTATTTTAACTCTTTAAAATATGTTTAAATGTGTAACAATAAAATGTTTATTGAATTTCAAATCTAACGAGTAAGAAAGAATTATTTTAACCTCAAATGGCCAGCCTTATTGAGAGTGGTGTGAAAATGTGCAGAATTGTCACCATTTATGGCTTATAGCATTACATTCATGTGATCGGCAATTCATTGTGTGAATCACCTTTTTCGATACTACCAACCATAGACACGAGATTTAAAAATTAGCTAGTACTCAAACGTCTTTCACCATTTGCCCATTTTGACCATGGATAAAGTATCAGTTGACAATTCTGTACATCTTCATAGATCACTATCAATGGGGCTGACTATTTGAGGCCAAAAAATTCCCCTCCTTATAATAACTATTAATAAATAATATTATTTTAATAAAATAGACAAATATTTGTAATAGAAATAATATTATTACTTTATATTACTCTACCATGGTCACTTACAGTTAGAGTCGGAACCCGACCCTATTATATACAGCACATAACTTTTCATTAAAATGAATAAGTTGAATCTCAAAGCTATATACTGTAAACAATAGTATACAATAGCCTAACCTCTATCACGCTTCCCAAAGTGTTCATATACCCAAACAAAGTTTATAACATTATTTCTTATACCAAATACTACTAGAAAATCAGCATTTTATTATAATCGGAGGATTGCTTTCCAATTATCTACTGTTAAGATCAGGTTTACAAACTAAACAATGTATAAGTAATTTTATTTTCAAAAACTATTAAATTTATTGATATCTTTAGTCAACTTTTTTCATACATTCGGAGTCATTATTGACTCCATTGTTAACAATTTTGATATTATTTGTGTTGATATATGTTTTGGTATAGAAATCATAAAACATATAAAAGAAGAATAGTGGCTGAGGGAGGGCTACACAGAGCCAGAACACGGGGTAACCCCTTTGAAAATACATAAATATATAGCCATATACGCCCAGTATAAGGAATTGGGCTAGCTGCATTTGGGTGATGTAGCGTTTCCACCATAGATACTTTTGTACTTCAGGTCCAAAAGCGGCCAAAAAGTAATACGAGTACATTACAAAATGTATGAACGAGTTCATAAAACCAAATAAAATCATGCCGGGTACAAATGGATTGATTTTGACCAATAACCAGCCGAATACGGGCACCGATATGTGATGGTATAGATGTAGCAAAGATATGTGCGAAAACTTTTTGCGCAAACAGAAAAATAACGTATCGAACCAGTCAAACATTTTTGATATCAAATACATATACCCTATTGAAAAATGCAATATGGTCAGTAATCATTGTTTATTTTAATCTTTATATTTAAACTTATGAATAATTGTATAGTTTTAATTGATAACAAATAGCATATTCACCAAGAACAATCTGTTTGCGTGTGGCCGGAGTGGAAGTTTTATCGGTGGGATAGTCAACATTGAGAAAGACTCGGCCGTAATCGATGTACTCTAAGCCTGTGGTAAACGCCCACAGATTAATGAACGCCATAATTACGTTATACGTAAGAATTGTTTTGCGCAGATTGTAGGGCTCCCGGCCCTCCATATGCCGGGGCAGAAACACTTGGATCACGTAATAATAGAGGGCCACCGCCAGCATTAGGGGCAACGGAGTGCAGTCGATGAACGGCAAGTGCCGTGTCCTCGGGTCTTGTATTTCCATCCAATAGTCATAGATATAGTAATTAATGTTTGCAAACAATTCGTCTATTTTAAACAAATAGTAATCACTTAAAAACATGGCTTTAAATTAATTTCTATTAAATCTATAATATTCTGCTAAATAATGTGTTTTACAATAATTTTAATAATACAATAAAATTGTTTAATTAAAAAAATGTGAACAATATATCAGTGAATGTGTGATTTAAATGAATTTTTGTGTTCAATAAATTACAAATAAAGACATTAATTTGCATTTATTTTTCTAGAATTAATCGATTTGTTCATTAATTAAAAGAAATCAATTAAAAATGTACATTGTACTAATTAACTAAATTTTAATAATAATTGTTAATTAACAAACGCATTTAAATTGTTTTGCAATATTACATAAAATATTTAATTAAATTAATAATCATGTATCTGGGTAAACCACGTAATAAAGTTATTATTGTTTAATTTATCTTTAAAAGTGTTAATTCATATTTAAAAATTATCGTCTAATTAAAAAAAATTGCTAAGATTATTCAAAAATAATTACATAAATTAAACAATGTTGCATAATTAATAAAATATACTCTAATATTTGTGATAATAAAGTAATTTAATTAATTTTTAGTTATTTTATTTATTAACACAACTGTATTTGTTTAAATATCTAACTTAAGGAAATTCAGAAATGTCACCTGGGTGACACAGAATAATGTTAGCCTATGAGAGTTTTATAATCGAGATATAGGAGCAGGTGACTCTTAATCTAAATTGTAACCTCTCTATAAGAAACGGCCAGTTGTATGGCAAAAGTGTTTCTTATAGGGAGGGTTTCTCCATAGGGAAGGTTTGTATATAAATACGTTAAACAGCATATTATAATTGTTATTCTGTTATTAAAAAGTTTCTGTGTTAATAATTCTATATGCAATATTATATAAATTTACTGTATATTGTTTGTTGTATTTGTGCAGTAAATAAGTTTTAATTTTAAAGAAATTAATTAATTTTTAAATAAAATATTACTGATTTTAGAATTAGTGTTTNGTGCTTGCGATCTGCTCTTCGTTTGGTATTACGGTATATATTTTACAAGCATATAAATAACAATGATCAAATATTGTTTAAAAATTTGATTGCTGAGGTTTTCGAATTTTTAAGTGATTATCACTTTAGATACAAAAAAAATACAAATTGTAAAATAGTTTAATGAAAAATAATTGAAAAGTATTAATTATTATATGTATATTAGAGTAATTATATTAAAATGGATATTAATTAATGGTATATAACGTTATATAACGTAAAGCAATGATTGTATAGTACTGTATAGAAATGTCTGTATTTATAGTGTGGAGCCCATAGGCTTTGGTGTCATCGGAGCTATAAGGCCCGACTCCCACTTCAAATATTGCTTATGGTATTTAACACTTTGGCCCTCGAGAATGATATATACGAGTGGAGTCGTGACCATCGGTTGCACCACAAACACAGCGACACCGACGCCGACCCACACAACTCGCGGCGCGGGTTCTTCTTCTCACACGTCGGTTGGCTTTTGAGTCGAAAACATCCGGAAGTGAAGGCCAAAGGAAAGACCATAAATATGGACGACTTGGCCAACGATCCGGTCATAAGATTTCAGCGCGCGTTTTACATACCGCTTGTGCTATTAATATGGGGTTTGATTCCGACATACGTTCCCCACTATCTCTGGGGTGAGACGCTGTGGAACGGGTGGTTTGTGTGCGTTCTCACCCGTTATACTTACGTCCTCAACATCACGTGGTGTGTCAATAGTGTGGCACATCTCTGGGGAATGAAGGTTGGTGCATGAAGATTGTGTCAACTAGATTCATTAATTGTATCATATTATTCATATATTTTATATTTGCATCGAAAAGCCTTACGATAAAAACATAGTACCCGTTGAGGCCAATATGAAAAACTTTATATTTGGTGGAGGTTTTCATAATTACCATCACACGTTTCCATGGTATTGTTTTTTATACATTGACTATATTTATACAATAATGATAATAATTGATTTAACGGTTATATGAATATGTGATGTGTATAGGGATTACTCTGCGTCCGAGTTTGGTTGGCAGCGTGTGTTCAATCCGGCGACCGCTTTCATCGACTTCTTCGCGTATATCGGATGGGCTTATGATCTGAAAAAAGCCTCCAAAGAGATCATTGAAAGCCGACGGCAAAAGACTGGCGAATCCGTGTCTGAGTCTAAGTCACAGGCTATGGAGTGTTTGAACGGCGTTTTAGTCATATTGGCTCCCATTTGGTTAAAATTTGCACTCATGCAAAGCTGGTGGTATTTGCCCTTGGTTATTTACGGTGTCAGATTCATCAGTTCCTAAGTTATTCACAATCTTATTTTTTATAATTACATAAATAATTATATATTTAACATATTCTGTTTGAAATACTGTAAAATATTTTGTTTATTGATTTTAATACAAACAATATTGTATGTATTGTAGCTAAAAAGTCGAGATTTACCTTTTATGTTATAACAATCTGTTGAAGTCCAATAAATTATTCAAACATGTAATGAAAACACTAATTCTAAAATCAGTAATATTTTATTTAAAAATTAATTAATTTCTTTAAAATTAAAACTTATTTACTGCACAAATACAACAAACAATATACAGTAAATTTATATAATATTGCATATACTGTAGAATTATTAACACAGAAACTTTTTAATAACAGAATAACAATTATAATATGCTGTTTAACGTATTTATATACAAACCTTCCCTATGGAGAAACCCTCCCTATAAGAAACACTTTTGCCATACAACTGGCCGTTTCTTATAGAGAGGTTACAATTTAGATTAAGAGTCACCTGCTCCTATATCTCGATTATAAAACTCTCATAGGCTAACATTATTCTGTGTCACCCAGGTGACATTTCTGAATTTCCTT